TATTGTTGACACTTTAAAATACTACTATCCTACTACAAAAAAAATTCACATTTTTTTCCTTTATTTTTCAATATCGCGATAAATATCGTACCGTGGACTTTTTAATCGCGATATTATCGTACCGTGAGTTTTTGGTATCGTTACCTATCTAGTAGCAGCCAAATGAATAATATAGAGACAAGCAGGAGACAACGTGTGACTTACTCGAGGGGAATTTGAAGTTAAATGGAATTGGTTGTAAAACCTAACTCCATCTCCGGTGTGGGAATATTTTGGATTTAAGCCAAATCAACGAGGCGAACCTACGGACTTGGATGAGCCGGGCGATGTGTCGCATTTGTTTAAAAAAGGTAGCAACAAAAGCTAGCAATACGACCAACCTTAAACTGCACCTGAAACACAACCCCCCCATAATGTTTTTCCAGCTGGTAGCAAACACGGCAGCTGGAAATGGAGAGCCCCCACCTTCCCGACAGTTTACAATCAAAGATGCATTTGCCCGACAATGCAAACATGTTGGTGTTCCTTGCTCGAAATCTTTGATTTATACAGATTTGGATATGGCCTGTTGAGGTTTATTTTGCTTGAGAGACAATGTGTGCTCATATTTATATATTTGTTATATTATAAATATAAATACATATATATATATGTATTTATTTATATATATATATATATATATTAGGGGTGTAACGGTTCACAAACATTTCGGTTCGGTTTTTAGGTCACGGTTCGGTTCGGTGCGTTTTCGGTACAGCAGAAAAAATTATCACAAAACATAACATATTTTTTTTAAATTATTATTAAACTGTGAATAATGTATTCACTCAAATAAATACAAAATATAATAAAATAAACATTAAGGTGCAGCATTTTGATGAACTGAAATAATCTGTATTTGAACTTTACTGTACTAGTACTCACAAAACATAAACTATTAGTTTTGGGTTTTTAATTATTATTAAACTGTGAATATTCACTCAAATAAATACAAAATATAATAAAATAAACATTAAGGTGCAGCTTTTCGGATGAACTGAAATAATCTGTATTTGAACTGTACTGTACTAGTACCTAAGCAGCCAGTTTGACATTATGACTTGCTTGTCATTGTATTTTCATGTTATTTAAAGAAAAATGTACTTGTCCACATTGCTTGCCGAAAGGGCATAAGGGCTGGCACTAACAATGGTAGTGCCTGGTAGCGCTTTGCTAACATGGCAACATAAGGATATTTGGCGTTTGTAATAGCTTTGACTCGGTCTGAACTCTTTGCGAGTGGTGGAGGCTTAAATGCTAGTGGGAGTTGGGTTTGCACTTCAGTCTTTTTTCTTTTGGTACCGGTGATATTCACGTTCGGGTAATGCCTTTTCAAATGAGTGTGCAAGTTTGATGTATTGCCAGCCGCATAACCAATTTTAGTTGAACAATGCCGACAAACAGCTTTGGTTCGGTCCACCTGTCTTTGTCTTTCCGTCATCCTTGTTCGTAACTGCAAAACCAAAATGTTCCCAAACCGGAGACTTCAATGGTGCTGGAGGATTTTCGAGCTCAACTTTATCTGCGTTCGCCATTTCGACAGTTCCTCAAATTACTGACTACATTTGAACGCATCCCTCTGACCAGCTCTCATAGTATGCCTCTCGTCCAATGAAATGACTTGCTCGCTATATGACGCGTTGAACACAATGTGAGCAAATTACTCTGAATGCTGCGACGCAGCACCTGAGATTACTTCCAAGAAGTTGTTCACGTTCTCAATTTTTTACGTTTAACGTTATATTCGTTCGGTACACTTCAGTACACACGTGTACCGAACCGAAGGGCCCGTACCGAATAATTTCTGTACGGGTACGTGTACCGTTACACCCCTAATATATATGTATTTATTTTAGGGCTGTCAAGTTAACGCGTTAATAATAAAACATTTTTTTTAACGCCACTAATTATTTTAACGCGATTAACGCATGTGTATTTTTTGTCCTCGGCCACCCCGTAGTTTCAGAGAGCATCAAGTTTAAAATACATTCTACAAGCTGATGCTGACAGCCCCGCTCCTGCCGCCCGCTTGTGGCAGACCCGACATACCACACTTCCACGCTCACCGGCAGGCACCGACTGGCCATCGGGAGGACCGGGAGGGTGTGTGTCTGTGTGGCACGAGCGAGCGAGGCATACCTTACGTGTATTGCTGTTGTTAGCATCTGGTGCTAGCTAGCTGCGCTAACGGATATAAGGAGCTGTTTCAATGAAAACAGAGGAGCGACATTTCGCCGAGCACTTGACTTTATGCAGGAAGCCAGACAGTGGGACATTGTACGAAAAGTAGCACACTAAGCACGTATAGTGCGCGCAACATGATTGCAGCGTCCAGGCAGCTCCCGTTCGAGCATATGCCTTGAGTTGCACATAGCTCCAACGATCCATCACAGTGTCTCTCTCTCTCCACACACACACACACACACACACACACACACACACACACACACACACACACACACACACACACACCACCACACACACACACACACACACACACACACACACACACACACACACACACACACACACCACACACACACACACACACACACACACACACACACACACACACACACACACACACACACACACACACACACACACACATACTGTATTGTATTATTGTATGAGAGGTTCCAGGGGGAAATATGTACAAAGGAGGCTAGGTAGACTCAAAAAGATGGATCAAACACTCTCGGGCCTATGCTGGCATGGTTGTGCGGAAGTGGGTATCCTTTTACATTGTCTTTGGCCCTGTCCGGCTGTAAAATCTCTTTGTGACGTAGTTGGAGATACACTCGCTGAGATCCCGATCAATGGCATAAAATCAAAATGTGCAAGTAAACTCATAGCCCTAGCATGCCTTTGAACTAAACGCCTCGTTCTTATGAACTGGAAATTCAGAAAGCCCAACTGCTTCAATTTAATATGGCTGGAGGACTTCCTAAACATCTTAAGTATGGAAGAAGCTGCTTTCTCCCTGTTATATTTGGTTAAGCCAGACAACAGGCTTTGGGATAAGATAAGGGCTTTCCTGGGGGGTATACTACGAAGCAGGATTTTCGCTTAGCCGGCTAAATTCAGGGACAACTCCGGCTTTCCGGTCCTACGAAGCTGGTTCTCTTTTTAGCAGGCTAGATCTCCATGGTAACTTATGCTTAGCGGCTAACCTGGTCGGGAGCAGGTTAGGTTGCAGGCTAAGAGCTCAACTCAGTGAAAGCACTGCCTGCTGACCAATCAGAGCTCAGTGTGCGGAGTTTAAAGCGATCAAGTCATATTACAGGAGAAAGGAAATACAGAAAAGCTGCAGTCGCAGGAAAGACGGCCGGCAAAAATCACCGACTTTGTGAACGTGAACAATGAACATTAATAGAATATCACCTCCCATCTTCAGAGCAATCTGACTATTATAACATTAGCGTTAAGAAAGCTTACTTAAATATCTGCCACAACATAAGTAACCGGATCAAAGTAATATTAAGTACAGTCCGCGGCATATCACTTCATAATGTATCATATATTTTCTTATCTGAGTCAGCTGAGCCGTATCTGGCCGTGCAACACTCACAGTGTCACATACTGTATGCAGAAGTATTATTTTAAGCAGCACATTAAGTTGACGAAACACTCGAGACAAATGTAATTAAAGTCAGATCGTGTTTTAGACGGGGCAGTGATATCATAAACCTGTTAATGTACGCATTCAAACTTTATTTGTGCCACACAGCTATGTGGCTTTTATCCTGGATAAAGTGTTTAAGTCATGGATGTTCAAAGTTTAATTTCTTCATTTTTGACTAGTATTAAAGTTAACTTTTCATTCAGGAAGTATGACGCTGCGCTGTCAGTACGCTTCTCCATGTTTGTGATTGGTCGAATGCTCCAAATACCACCCCTTTCATGTGAACGCGCACCTAACTAGATAGGACACGGCTGGCTTGAGCGATCCACTTGATAACCAGCGTCGTAGTACAGTTTAGCGAAAGCGCGTATGTTTTGGATTAGGCCAACCGGCTAACTCAAACATATCCAGGTTAGGTTGAACCAGCTTCGTAGTACAGGCCCCAGGTTGAATTGAGGCGAATATTTGTAATGTTCAGAGGTTGTTGTGTTTAATATTCATCAAATGATAATAAACACACATAGAAAAGATTATTTGTCCACTCATATGTTGATAAGAGTATTACAAACTTGAAAAATATTCCTCTAAGGTACATTTAGAACAGATAAAAAATGTGCGATTAATTTGCGATTAATCGCGATTAACTATGGACAATCATGCGATTTATCGCGATTAAATATTTTAATCGACTGACAGCCCTAATTTATTTATATATATATATATAAATACATATATATATAAATACATATATAAATACATATAGATAGAGAGAGAGAGAGAGAGAGAGAGAGAGAGAGAGAGAGAGAGAGAGAGAGAGAGAGAGAGAGAGAGAGAGAGAGAGAGAGAGAGAGAGAGAGATAGAGAGAGAGAGAGAGAGAGAGAGAGCTCTGTTTTCCAGCCTGAGTCTATTTAATTTATTGTTTTGATTGTGTGTGATTTAATACATTTTTTATAATTGTTTAATTAATGTTTATATATCATTTATATATTTGAATATTATTTCAAATTGCATTTGCAATGTTGAATACAAAAGTTCTGTTTGAAAGATGTACTTGAATTATTATTATATATTATCATTATATCAGTGGTCTAAAATGGTCTTACAACGGTGCCGGCAATATTATCGCAATAATTTCCGGGAAAATGTATCGTCCAACAAAATTAATTATCGTGACAGGCCTAGGGACATGTCCCCCCTGTCCCTAGTGGAAATTACGCCCCTGGCTGTAGCAAATATCACAGGGATTCTAAAAATGTTAACGTACAGTTTGAGATGTGATGCTGTAACGTAATTAAGTCTTACATACTGTACGGGAGTATGATATTAGGATCATACCTGAAACTTTGTCCTCCAGTTTGACAATCGCCATTTGGCCCTTGGCTGTGATCCTCATTCTACCAGACCAGTCTGGAGAATCCAGCTTCCAGTCAGCTGCCCTGTGGACAAGCATGGTGTTAGACTGTAATGTTACGCATACACAATTGAATATTAAGAGGAAAATATTTATATATAAAACTAACAACTATCTGTTTTACAAAGATTAAGTTGGGTCTTTTTAACGGATTGAACACATTTGACAATACTCATAATCTGTGATTCTGTCGTACGTGTGTCAAAAGGCATTATACACATATAATAGGGTTGTGGATGAAGAAAGATTTGTTTAATTTTACAAATGCCTACAGATATGAAAGCGTAAAAGTATTCAGTATTTAACTGTAAGAATCTTTAGAGAACAAGTCAATGTATACAGTAGTCTACACAAAAAAGCAGCAAAAAAAAAGCTCAAAACATATTTTGTTTACCTTTTTTCTTTATTTTATATCATTCATACAATCGTGTTGTGATCCTTAAGCCTCCATTTTAAACTACATTTCATAATACATTAATAGTGGTTTGGACATTGACGGTCACTCAAAATGTTATCATTCCCTGCATGCAGCACACTCAGACAATGTTTACTCACTGTCAAACATAAAGTCTAACTCTGTATTCCCAACCTCAATCAAAGACTATCCACACAGAAGACAGTGAAAACCGTTTTGTTTCAGTTCAATAGCGTCACTGTGGAGAGAGGACGTCCAAGCTGACACACAAGAGCGGGACAGTCCTGTCAAATGGCCCGTATCGACCCGGCAGAATGACAACCCCCCCCCCCCCCCGTCACAACTCTGACAGCTCAGCCGCTATTGACAACAAAGCGACACACAGAACCGGCCAACGATTCATATATATATTTACAACAGGCGACCCATTTCATTTCTGCCTTCCACAGTCACAACATAAAGCCCCCTCTACGTGATATGAAGCATGTTCTGGCATCGAGCAGTGAAAGTGAAATACCCGCACCGGCACCGAGCGACACCAAACCCCGTTAAAGCACATTCCACAGCGCCGTTAACCACCGGCAGGTTCCTCTGTACCTGTATGCGCGGTTTGAGGCTCGCGGCGGGATGCGATAAACGTTGACATCGGGTTTTACGCATAGGATCGACTCGTACTCGCCCTCGGCCGCCATCTTGATTCAACTGTTATTGATGTGGGAGTTGTGGTTGTGACTCATGTATTCAGTGTGGGTGTGTGTGCGTGTGTGTGTGTGTGTGCGTGTGTGTGTGTGTGGTGTGTGTGTGTGTGTGTGTGTGTGTGTGTGTTTGTGCGTGTGCGTGCGTGCGTGGTACCACAACCGCATCAGAGATGTTATTAATTGTTAGGGTACCTAAGTCTCATGACGCTGCTTTAAATTGAAGTAGGACGAATAATGACATGTTTATCAATAAATAAATAAATGCTAAAACAAATATTGAAATATATTCGTAAATACGGAAATACATCTTATTCTGAAAAACCCAAATAAATGAAATAAACAATGATTATTTACATTTAAATAAATACATATTGCAATTAGATGCATACATGCATAACATAAATGTGTAAATAAATACAGAACAAATGAATCAAGTCATACCACAAATTAAGAATATAAATAAAAAAATATTTTTGTATGTATTTGGACATTTTTGTTCAACACTTATCTTTTATATGTTTATATAATTGTGTCCTGTTTAATTACACTTTAATTAATGCATCTATATATTTACTACAATATTTATTCAAATGTGTATATATTTGTATCATTCTCCTCCTTTTTAATAAATAGCAACATAATTAACGTTCTGCTTAAATGAAATTCCAGAATAGAAAAACAAGGAGCTATGATTTTGTATTTAATTGTTAAAATATATATATATCGTGAGGGGGCGTGGGCTTGCAGGTGCTGGGACTGCGGAAGCGGAAACCGTCGTCGTGTAGTCTCCTGGAAGATTCCTGAAGATCTGCTCAGGGTTAGTCCTTTCATTTTTTCTGCAAATACGCACATTTAATTAACGAAAATAACACGCGGCGAGTGCGTGTTTTTTTTAACTCATATTAGCGCTGGTTTCTCGAAATACAACCCTTCATTTGTTGGCTAATGTCTGGTATGTAAGTTGATTCCAGCTGGCTTGATAACAGCAGGGTTAACCATTAGCCATATTGACGGCTGCTGGCCGTCTTCAGTCGCTCTCCGAGGTCCTGAAAATACGGACCGTGGATCCTCAGAGACACGTTACTACTAAGCATTTCGACTGAGAGTTAACATGACTCAGATTGATCATCAATGTGCACTTCAAATCAGGTTTCAGCGTATTTTCCTCACCTAGCCACAGGAGGCTGGCAGCTAACTAGCTTGTAGCTTAGCCAGATAGCTAACCTTGATGAGAATCAGTGTTTGTCGCAGTGATAATGACAAACTGTCACGAGCTGTCATATAGAGCAGGTGTAAGCACACCTATAGTGCAGCTTTGCAGTCACACATTCATTATCGCATGCTGGCTTTTGTCACTCAGTGCCAACCCGTGCCTCAGCTCTTTTTATGTTGACTGGTTCCTCCCTGCAGCTGTAGGATCTGGTTTCTGGAATCCTGAGACAAGTCAATGCAGTCAGGGGGACGAGAGAGCAGCAGGATGAACGCTCACTGAGCCAGCACTCAAAACGTTTAAAAATACATCTTGGACAGACTTTACAAAGGTATTGGAGTTTTATTTGTTCGAGATTATGTTTAAACATGTATCTCGAACAAATCAATATAATTGGGGATCATTCTTCTTTGTAAGCATGCAATATTGTTTACAAGTTTTCTCTGAAACAGATTGCGGTGGTTTGATTCCCCACCAACCCTACACACACCATGACGTCCTCTATGCTCCGCCGACAGCTGAAGAACCTGGTCCAGAACTACTCTGAGGCTGAGGTCAAGGTAAATCAACTCTATTTGAAAGGGGTAAAAAACTCAATTTGGCCTTAGCCAGGAAATACAATGCTTTCCTATTGTATTCTGAACTCTAGTTTAGGAAGCATTTATACAAAAGGATGTTTTAATAATAATAATAATATTAATAATACATTGGATTTTTATAGCGCTTTTCCTAGTGCTCAAAGACGCTTAATTTTTGAAGGTTTTTTGCTTTTAATATATCGCTAGGCAGTAAAAGTGGCATGACATATATCTGATAATGGACACTTTAAATATGTATACTATTAGCACAAGATGCCATGTTTTAATATCACAAAACAGAAACAACTGTTCAACATCTTGAACAGTTGCCCCCACCAGCCGATCAGTTGATTTGACTTTTGAAGGAAACATAGATGTGGATGTTTATGGCAAAAATGCTTATCCGATGAAACATGATCTGGAAAGAACTTGCCAGAACAGACTCCTTATCATTTTTGTTGGCATGATGAAATTAGATTTTGGCAAGGATGACTTGCTACATTTTTAATTGGGGTCACTGTTTGTAACTGTGAGCCCTTTGGGACAAGCTGGCATCTGACCTTTGGAATGCAGCCACCTTGGGTTCCCTTAACACTGACATGTCTTGCTTAACTTCCTCTGCAGGTGAGAGAGGCGACTTCTAATGACCCATGGGGCCCATCCAGCACTCAGATGGCAGACCTCTCTGATCTGACCTACAATGTGGTAGCCTGCAACGAGATCATGACGATGCTCTGGAGGCGTCTGAAAGACGACAAGAACTGGAGACACATCCACAAGGTATCAATACACACAAACATGGATTATGTAACAAGACTGTGGTAAAAGTGCCATTCAAACAGTCATTATGGATGTTATGTCAGCTATAAGGGGGCCCTATCAGGCTTTTTGGGAGGTTTTCCTTTTCCTTCTCTTCAACACACTCCCCCCCCCTGCCTGAAACGCCTCAATTGTAGTCATTTGTATACTTCCGTAACATAGTGAAATCGATACATAACACTCATAGCACCACTATTGTACGTGAAGGGGCAGGACATCTCTAAGCGGTTGAAAGCACTTTTTGAACATTAAAGCATGTAAACATGTAACAGGAGAGGCACAAAATACATTACATTACATGTCACTTGTTAGACGCTTTTATCCAAAGCGACTTACATACATTCAGTACTGTGGGCAATCCCCACAGGAGCAATTTGGGGTGAAGTGTCTTGCGCAGGGACACAATGAGATGCTGACTGCAGTGGGAGTTGAACTTGCTACCCCGTGATTCAAAGTTCAGCGCAATACAATTATAAAACCTGAAAATTAGCAAAATAAGGCCCCTTTAAGATTTAAGTACTTTTGTAGATTTTGTACATTTTGCCAAACACCTATTTTTTTGTAAAAGACAATGTGGCTCCCTCTCTGGTGTTTCAAATGGACAAGCCTTCTTTTCAAAACAATGGCTTTTACCATCATGATCTTCATTTCAAATTTTTTACATAATAGTCCATCTTTTACTTAGCATTTCGTACCCTACACCTATTGATTAGGTATTGATTAAATAAATGATAGAAAATGTAATGAAAGCACGATATTTCCCCTAGAGCAGGGGTGCCCAACCTTTTTTGAACCGAGAGCTACTTTTAAAGTTGCCAGACTGCCGAGATCTACCAGTCCAAATAGAGAGGCATTACTGACAGCCTACTACCAGGTAAATACCTTCTACTTGTATAAAACTGACCTTTGTACGATGAATACTTCATAAAATACTGCAGATCCTTTATCTTACCTCTTTCTAATCTACACACATACAAGTATTTAACTGAAGTTACACAACAGTGTTGTTGATACAGAGTTGGAGTTTATTCACAAGTCACACAGTGGGTAATGTTTTCAAGAAACATTGAACAGTGCTGCCACATATGACACAGGGAAAAAAGAAAAGACTCTGAACCCTTTCTTTGCCATTATATAAAAATAGTGTTGCTACAAAAGTATAAATTAGGCTTACTAATAAGACAACTCAGATCTGAAGCTGCACAGGAATCTGCTGCAACAGTGCAATAAAAAAGACAAAATTAATAGAATCAAACCCTGTTTTTGTTGCATTTTAGTAGAGTATCAAAATAAATGCCTTTTAAAATAGGATGCAAGCAACACTAGTTTCTTAACCTGAATTGATAATAGACTATAATCAATTTAAGTTTGCATTCTTATACCATTTTGTACAATAATTATAATGAATAAGTTCAAACAAACTAAAACTTACAGCTGATTAATAACGGTATCTAACTTGAGTTGTTATCATATCAAAAACCTGTTGAAATGCTACTGTTATTTTTACTGTCCCCCAAAAGCGCGTCGGCAACCTCCAGGAAAGCTTCTTTCACAACTTCGCCGTCTTTGAAAGACTTCATGTGTTTCGCAAGAACGTGCCTGACACGATAAGATGCTATGGTAGCAGCCTTGCTCTTGTTGTTGGGCCTGGTGAAAATGGACTGCTGTGTATTTAGCTGTCCTTTCAGGCCCCTCCCCTTTTTGGAGCGTAGAGCAGAATTAGGAGGGAATTCCGTCTCGTAGCGTTTGTGCACTGTTTTGAAATGCCGCTCCTAAATGAGCCTTCTTCGATAAAGCCACGCTCGCATTGCAGATGAGACAGATGGACTTTGAATTGGAATAGATACAAAAATAATCATCCTCCCACTCGGAGTGAAAATTATATATTTTGGGCTTTTTTGCTTCTGCTATAATTGCGGTCTTGTGTGTGTGCGGACTGTCACTCCTGTTGACACGGACAACGTCAGCGAAATAGTGCCCACTGCCCACCAGCCACGCCCCGACACATGGGGTCACGCCGGCCAATCACAAAGCTTTGATGCGTTCAAGTGCATTATTCTGGCACAGGAAGATTATGTTATAGGACATTAACGATAAAACAGAATATTGTTGTTCTATTTTTAGACACATCTCGCGATCGACTGGGAATCTCCCCGCGATCGACCGGTCGACCAGATTTTTTAAATGTTGAAGTTAAATGCATCAATCTGGTGCACTTTGAGAGCAAAATTAGGGACAAAAGTGACTGCACCCAAAACAATAAACCTGCTAGCTAACTAGCCTAAACTCAGTAACAGAATGTGGGCAACACGTTCTTCTCCACAGCCGTGCAACCTCTGAGTCAGACGTCACTTCCCCCTTTTCTATCCTACGGGTACAGCCACTCCCCCTGAACCCCGTGTCCCTGCCAACCCCCCCCTCCCCGATGCAAGCCCCTCCCTCTGAACCCAGGGCTTGCCACAATACTGTATACTGTATACACAAACTATACAAAAACGCCTTTACGCTTTGGAGCTTGTTTATCCATCTGTAAGCAACTGCCAGCTAGGTCTCTCAGTCACTCACTCCTGATCGTTCACTGCACAATGACAGCTGCTACGGAGCTGATGTGTGAAAGTGAAACTATCTGATAGCCTATCAAAACGGCCCAGCCCAGCCCAGTGGGGTGTGGGCCACACCCCTCCAGGGAGTGGCCGGAACACTTACAAATGTGGGCAGGTAGGATTTAGGTAAAAAAAAAAATATATATATTTTTGGCCCTCCGGCCCACGCACAGCACCGGCCCACCGGGAAAACTCCCGGTATTCCCAATGGCCAGTCCGCCCCTGCCCCTGCCCTAGAGTGATCGTTACATGCTCAGGGATACCCGAAGGCTTATAAGATTAAAAACATTGAATTGTTCACTACCAAAGCAGTATTTCACAGTTTTTATTCAATTGAAATGTACTGGCATTTAGTTGAAGCACTCTCTCTTCCTTCACATTCCATTAATTATTTATCTGCTTTTTAATAAAGACGTCAACTGCACCGCATATCTGCTATTAAGTTACGGGTATCACCAGGGTAACATGGCAGTCCATGGTGACTTTGCCAGTTATGTGCCTTTTTTTATTGGCACATCAGTTACACTATAGTCCGCTAAAAGCATTGTGTGTTTTGAAACTTTTGCAAAGTGTTTATCCTGATGTTTTTATTTAGCCCATTCAATTCAAACAAAAAATAAGATAAACGATAGAGATTGTCTTTTTCTGTTTCAGTTATATGTATTTATTTCTCATACATTTCTCATGCCTATTTCTATACAAGTCCCTGACACTGTTGGAGTACCTGTTAAAGACCGGGGACGATCGCGTGCTTCTGCAAATGAAAGACAACATCTACATCGTCAAAGCTCTCACAGAGTATCGCTTTATAGAAAAGGATGGCAAAGATCAGGTAATACTTTTGATAACCATTTAAAAGAATAACATGTATAAAAATGACTAGGATTATATTTTACATTACTTTACATTATCCTATATGTTTTCAACAAACCTAGAGAAATCCATAGTTTTAATCAAATTTACCGTCTGTTTCATTCGGTCTACTGGAACTGAGGCGTATCCCCTTTACACATGCCATTTTACAATGCACTTTCTAGATCTTGGTCATTTTAAATTATTTATTTATCATGGATGAATGGTTTTACTCACTAAACATTCAGATCTTGAATTATCAGAGAAAAAATCTGAGCCAATTAAAATCTTCTGAACGATTGACCATAATAAAGGAATCCTATTTTGCTGACTATAATATTGGCAATGTTGGTAAGGTTGTGTATTATTAAAAAAAAATACCAATATCATCATTTTCCTTTTAACCTCTAGGCTAATTTCACAATTAGATAAAACCAGATTCAGTCTTAGATTGGTGTAAATGTAAGAATCCCTTGATTTAATAACTTTCCACAGTGAAAATGCTTGACATTTTCAAGCTTACGCAATGTGTACAATTTGGAAGTTGTTTTTTAAGCATCATTAGGATTTTGATGAAAGCTCAAACAACATTTCAATCCAATGTAAACATCTCTGTCTCAGGGAGGTAATGTGAGAGAGAAGGCCAAAGTCGTCCTTGTTCTTATGGAGGATGATGATAAACTGAAGGAGGAGAGAGACTTTGCCGTCATGACCAGGGAGAAGACGTCAAAGGGTGCTGGTGGTGAGCACTTTTGTCTTGAGTATCTCTGCTTTACTGTTTTACTATCATAATCTTTACTGTCATGTTTGTGTATGTAACACAAATTGTATTCAACCTTTTCTCCATCCCTTGCAACCAGCCTCATCAGTGGCCATAGTCAAGGATCCCAACTACAAGCCATGCTACGTTGCCGGGACTTCTGGGCTTCCATCTTTAGACAACATACCCTCTGTGGCTGACTTGACTGCTTCCTTTGCTGCTCGCAAAGAGGAGCGTATTAAACAGGAAGCTGAGAAGAAAGACATGGAAAGGAGGGTAAGCGTTAAGCTAGTAGAATACTCTGGTACAGCAAGTACACACACTTAAATACTGCACCAGTGCAATATAATGCAGTCAGGTATAACAATACTACAAAGCAGAGGTGTGGACTTGAGTTACATGACTTGGACTCGAGTCAGACTCGAGTCACCAATTTGATGACTTTGAACTCGACTTGACAACATCACAAAACACTTGCGACTCGACTTGGACTTGAACACCAATGACTTGGGACTTGACTTGGACTTGAGCCTTCTGACTTGAGGTGACTTGATAATTTAATTCAGAGGTCTCCAACACGCCGATCGCGAGATACAGCTAGAAAAGCAGAATCTCCAGCAGCTCCTACTCTTGCTGAGAATCCTTGCAGGCAGGGGCGGGGTCTTTATTTAGCTGGGCCACCATGCGGCCAATCATATGCGAGGACACACTAGGATCATACCATTATGTGAAAGAAGGGTGGGGGGCAGATGCTCCAAAGACAGCAGGTGTAGTGGTACAGGCCAGCTACACAGAGCGACGGGGAGTCGGATTTAAATGCAAGCGCGTCGGAAAAAGTCAAGAAATCTGGCATCTGGCTGCATTTCAATGATATTGGAGATTTGTAAAATGAAAATAACCTTCAGAGCAGGGTTTTCTTTTGGTTCAGATCTTGTACTTGAGTAAAGTACCAGAGTGTAGGAATACTCGGTTACAATAAAAAGTTCTGCATTCAAAATGTTACAAGTAAAAGTAGAAAAGTATTAGCATCAAAATATAGTTACTGTAAAGTACCACCTGCAGAGGGATCTAGATTCAGGCGTTCTTTTCCCCATAAAGACCGCCTCGCTGCACATTATCCCTTGCATAAAGCTAGATTGTGGGTCCCTTATAACATGTTGTACACAGTGGAAATAAACATTCTGGTTACCTCAATATCAGGGATCTTATACATTAAACTCCTTCTGAATCAAACCGTCACGGTAGCCTTACCTTACTGATCCCTCTTAACATAGAAGAAAACACGTTACTTTACCAGCTGAGAGAAAATTGATTATTAAATTATTAATGTGACTAATAAAGAGCAGTTTGATTATTAAGTATTGTTCTGTTGATCGATGTCATTACATTTGTTGAAAAGCACATAAGGACTTGTTTAAGACTCGTTCTGTCAAAGTTTAGGACTTGGACTTGACTTGAACTTGCCCATCCTGACTTGAGACTTGACTTGGACTTGAGCGCAAAGACTTGAGACTTGACTCGGACTTGAGCGCAAAGACTTGAGACTTGACTCGGACTTGAGCGCAAAGACTTGAGACTTGACTCGGACTTGCAAAACAATGACTTGGTCCCACCTCTGCTACAAAGCATATCCTAAAACATTGTATGTACATCCCTTTGACAAGGTCTCAACATTCTATAACACAGTTTTTGAAGGCAAGAATCAGTTGAACAATGGAGCATTTGAAATCAGAATAAAGTGTGTTTTACAAACATATACCCATTGCAGTTAATTACTCTTCTTAAAAAAACAAGTTCAATATTTTCTGTCAATTGGACTTATTTAGAAATACCACTGATGAAGCTATTTGTAATAGTTTAACTTGTACTTCTCTTATTTTTTCAATTGTTATATCCCAGGCCAAGATGAGTGAAGATGAGCTGAAATGGGAGGATGCCGGCAAAGGCAATGATGCTCAAGGAGCTACTTGGGGAGGAGAGAAATCAGTGGAGAAAGAGGAGGAGAAGGAAGAGGAGGTAGAACCAGACCCATGGGGATCCTCTAATGAACCTAAAAAGGCCACAGACCCATGGGGGGCAAAAACTGATGAAGATCAGTTTTCAGCACCAAAAACCAATGAAGATTCATTTGATGTGCCAAAGAATGGAAAAGATCCTTTTGTAGCCCCAAAAGATGAACCAGATCCATTTAATGCGTTGAATGATGACCCGTTCAACGCACCAAAAGATAGTTCAGACCCTTTCAATGCAAACAAGGATAAGGGAGATCCATTTACTGCTCCAAAAGATACCCCAAAAGTAGATCCCTTCAACAGTGCAAAGGTTGATCCATTCAATGCTCCGAAAGAGGATCCATTCAATGCTCCGAAAGATGATCCATTCAATGCTCCAAAAGATGTTCCATTCAATGCTCCGAAAGATGATCCATTCAATGCTCCCAAAGAGGATCCATTCAATGCTCCGAAAGATGATCCATTTAATGCTCCGAAAGAGGATCCATTCAATGCTCCGAAAGATGATCCATTCAATGCTCCGAAAGAGGATCCATTCAATGCTCCGAAAGATGATCCATTTAATGCTCCGAAAGATGATCCATTTAATGCTCCAAAAGATGATCCATTCAATGCTCCGAAAGATGATCCATTTAACGCTCTGAAAGATGATCCATTCAATGCTCCGAAAGATGATCCATTTAACGCTCCAAAAGATGATCCATTCAATGCGCCGAACGATGATCCATTCAATGCTCCGAACGATGATCCATTCAATGCTCCAAAGGATGATCCTTTCACTGCACCTGCATCAACACCCCCTAAAGAAGACCCATTTTCTGCACCAGCATCATCTAAAGGTGACCCATTTACTGCCTCCACAACATCACCTAAAGAAGATCCTTTCTCTGCACCATCCAGATCAACAAAAGCGGATCCATTTGCTTCTCCAACAACACCATCCAAAGAGGTCCCTTTCTCTGCCCCGTCCAAGCCTACAAAAGCGGATCCTTTTGCTTCTCCAACAACACCACACAAAGAGGATCCTTTCTCTGCACCATCCGAACCAACCAAAGAGTACCCTTTCGGTGCAACAACGACACCCCCTAAAGAGGACTCATTCAGAGTGCCATCCACTCCACCAAAAGATGATGCCTCAGATCCCTTCAATGACCCTCCATTGAGCTCGCCCAAAGAGAGTGCAGATGCGTGGGGAGCCCCTGCTACCTCCCCACCCTCCAGCAAGGCAGATCCATGGGGGGCGCCATCTGCTCCAAAGGAAACAAAAGGCGGAGATCCCTGGGATGACGGAACAAGCGCCTCCTCACCAATTGAGAATTCCTATGCATTTGGAGATGCATCCAAACTGGATGATGACCCTTGGGGAGCCCCAGGTGAGAACAGCAAATATGTATTTGAAAGATTACCCCGAGATGCAACTTGTAAAATAACTGAAGTTGCTTTCCAAGTTAACATGATGACATTTGGGTCATTTCCAATTGGATGAAGCCAAAAGCCAATAGACTAAAATGCTTGGCTTTTTCCTCTATTTCTTTGTTCAGCTGCAGCTACAATAAGCACAGATGATGCGTGGGGATCACCCGCTCCCCCCATGGACTCCTCCGCATCTAGTGACCCCTTTGGAGACGGAGCTTCTAAAAAAAGCGATCCTTGGGGTGCACCGAGCAACGCATCTAACGGGACAGGTACAACACTCTTTACACTCTGAGTCTGCAGAACATTTATTCCTATGATCCTTCCATTATTCATGAGACTAAAACCTCATTGGTTTCTTTGTACTCAGCAATTAAAACCCTCCCCTCTGATTAAATCAACGTAATATTTCTGCTGCGTATTCTACTAAAATGTATGTTTGATTTCAATCGAGCAAATTGTGCTTGACTGAGAATGGTGATTCTAACAACTTAACTGTTTTACCTTCATGTATGATTACGTTTTCTTGTGTACACCTTATGGTCATTTGCATGTGACTGTTGTCCTCCATTTCACCTTCCATCTCTCCATCTTTCAGCAGTTCGCTAACAACCTTATTCAATTTAACTTCTCTTTCCCGCTTTGCTCTCTCTTCCTCCCTGACCTGTCCCCAAAAGAAAACACCTTTTAGAGTAGAATTGGATCTTTATTGTATTGCAGGAAATCGAACAGCGCTGGAAGAGAACTCGTATAGAAAGACTGCTTCGTTTCTGGGCTCTGCGGGGGCGTCGCTAGTTGACTTGGACGATCTATTTTCTTCTAACCCTAAACCCAACCAGAGCCCCTTCGTCAACACGCTCGTCACCCAAACACAAGTCATCGGTAAGGACAGAACAAATGCTTCAGAATGGGTGAAAATCAACATCTTTGACAAAGGCTTCATGTGGAATTATCTGTGGTGCGCTTGATTCTAATGGATGCATGGTCAACCCCAAAGACTGAAAAACCACTGAGAGGATAAAAATCCGTAATTCCTCTGTGATGTTTCAAATGTATTCCACTACTCTTCAGTTGCAGTTCAGAGAGGGAGACTGAGAGAGGGGTGGGGGACAGTATGAGTGACAAATACATATTTATCAATAGGTTTGTATGAAAATGTGTTTTGGACCAACCAACCTACCCTGTGGTGTCACTGTATAATTTGTAATGTTGTGTGTGTGTGCATTTGTGACCTTTTGGAGTACAGTATATAGACTAGTGTATTCAAACCAGCAGATATTTAACTCTTCTCACCCCTCTCTCTGCTCTGGTGCATTTCTTTGCTGGAATACTTCAAACTATATATCCCTCCCCCCCATTCCTCCATCCTCCTATTACTCCTACTTATTTCACAGGCGCTTTCAAAGCCAGGGGCATGACATCTGGCCCTGTGGTCAGGTCAGGGGCTGTTGCTGGACTGTCCCTTCCTGAAACATCAACCCCATACTGCAGTCCCTTCGGTCCCTCCTTTGCTCCATCCTTTGTCGCACCTAGTCCAAATTTTGGAGCCGCTTATCCTGCCAGGGAAACTCCCTTATTTCGGCCACCATCACATACCATGGGAGTGTCTCATCCTGGCTTAAATATGCTTGAAACAGCTCAGGTGGCTCCTCTGTGTTCAGGAACTGGAATGGTAAAATCACCTTCTGTGCGAGGGAGTCCACACATGGGGCTTAACATGAACCCCCTCTTTAGAGGAGTGGTGCAGTCTGGATCTCTGGGGAAGCCATTGGCAGACCCCCTCTTATTGGGAACAGGAATGGGTCAGTCCAGTGTCGTTGGAGGGAATCGCCTAACAGGCAATGCTAACATGGGAGGATCCACTCAAGGGGGGGGAGCCCCCTTCCAGCCACGGTTGCTCTCAGGCAGTGGGTCAGGTGAGACGGTGCACAAAAACACCAATCCATTCCTGTTCTGAAAAATGTACCTCTTTCCTGTCAAGCACTGTATTCAATGACGTTGAATGCATATGTGTAGCAACCATTTTCCAAAATATAGCTCAAGGATTTCCAATTGCTTTCCCATGCATGTAACAGGCTGCCATCAGCTACAATTACCCTCCTGTGGGGAATTTTCCATCAGGATTTTTGTCATAACTTAAATATAGCATTCCTTTCAGGGACGGTGGAGTGAAATATCAGGCAGCCTGGAATTAGGAAACATTATTAACCCTTTTTGGTATTTTTTTGGGAAATGACCAGTAGCTAAAAGAATACAACTCTAAAACATGCATACCACTTGTGTGACCCTTAAATAAACCCAACAGCTCCTCCGTTAAGTCCTCCACACACTGGGGGGTTTGACACATTGACAATAGCTGAAATGTGAAATACTAGCCTGCTAATATTGTACAGTACTTTCTAGGGCTTTTATTATGAAAGGTAAGAACAAAAGGACTGGATCAGGTATGCACATGATAGGAGAAAACAAGTTTACACTTTTGGTTCAGTCAACCGAGCGTATGTGTTGCTGTTATAGTTTTTATTAATATAGGTGCAACTCAACCTGGACTGCACAATGTGGTTGGATGATTACCATTTTTCTGGGTGCAAAAGCTCAGAAATATTGAGGGGTAGGGATAGGGTGAGGGATCCGAAACAAAATGACATTGCTTTTTTGTTGGGTAATATCGGCCTTCTGTGTATAAAATAGTTATGACAAAAAACAATAGTTTAAAACAACACTTAAACAAAAACGCCCCCAGTGTGTGAATGCCGACTTGCTTACCCCTGAAATCTACACTTGATCAACTAATGATAGCCATGACTTAAATGTAATGTATAAATAGGAACACACACAAAATATGGGTGAAACTGCATACTTCCTTTCATGTAATTTATTGGAGCAGCCAGCCGTAGTCTTTTCCATGCTCTAGTCTGAGAAACGAGAGCACCTAATAATTGTTGATGTGGAAATACTGAAGAATAACTGTTGATGTGAGGGTTGACCTGTAAAACATTGGCAGAACTGAGGTGGGAAAGAAGTCCCTCTAGGGGGCTCTCATTAAGTGTGTATGTGTTTGTACAAGGTGGCGTGTGTGTGACCTGCATGAACGCAGTGTGTGTGTATATATTGTTCTGTTGTAAATAGTGCAAGTAATCACAGATAAACCTTGAAATATACTGTATATTAGAGTGTTACAATCATGCGTAACTATTTATTAATCTAATAATTGATTGATTTATGACTTAATTATTTATTGATGCAGCAATGGCCGTCCAACAAAGTTCAGGTTAACCTCCATTACAGTGTCATCTTCACACGGGTTGACCTGAAGGTATTGATTTTAAGCGTGATCGGCTTCAAACACTGCATTATCAATCAACTCGGTAACCAATGGTGGCTTTCTTTTCCCTGTTTATTTTTGTAGTCGTTCTGGATTCATTGTGGACTTGAACATTTCCCCACTGTACCCCCTACCATTTTCAAGTAACAGAAATGAAATTACTGTATGATTACAAGTTGCAGTGTTGGCTGAATAAAAACCGAATTTGAACACATCTTTGAAGAGCATACAGTCTGAGTGGTTCCTCGTGTGTGTGTGTGTGTGTGTGTGTGTGTGTGTGTGTGTGTGTGTGTGTGTGTGTGTGTGTGTGTGTGTGTGTGTGTGTGTGTGTGTGGTGTGTGTGTGTGTGTGTGTGTGTGTGTGTGTGTGTGGTGTGTGTGTGTGTGTGTGTGTGTGTGTGTGTGTGTGTGTGTGTGTGTGTGTGTGTGTGTGTGTGTGTGTGTGTGTGTGTGTGTGTGTGTGTGTGTGTGTGTGTGTGTGTGTGTGTGTGTGTGTGTGTGTGTGTGTGTGTGTGTGTGTGTGTGTGTGTGTGTGTGTGTGTGTCATTTTGGTGGAAGAATACACTGCAAGACAATTTAGCTTCAATTAGTTATAGTATAGAGAAAGATAAGGATGAGAAACTAGTCCATGACACTACAGTTATTTAATTTTGTATCAAATGAATTTATTTTGCTTTGTATTTAAATGTAAAACTGTGATGTAAACTGTGACAGTGTACAAATCTTTTGAGAAATAAATGGATCAATAAGTGATGCACTCACTTCTATTCTGTAGCAGATTTTTTTTTCTCATTTTTTCTTACATTTGACACTAAATTGCTTCTTATTTGTTGTGAATTTCTTAGAGTTCAACTCTGTCTTACAACCTTTAAAACATGCCTACTGTCACCACAAGGGGGCTATAAATACATCATGTTTGGACACAAACTATTCCAGTCACTCCATGTGGAAAGCAGACCTCATTTCCACTGTTTGATGCTAAGGTAATTTGTATACTATCCATAGCATTTGATTATAAATATTTAAATAAATAAAGCCACAACATAAAGAACATAACAAATCCTACTGGATCGGAAAAGGGAAATGGAAAAATATGATTTCTAACTTAAAAATAAATAACTTGTCTATAATTTGCCATATGTGTTCTTGAGAAAATGTGGCGAGTTTGGCTTTTTGGAAGAAAAAAAAGGAATTATTACTCAAAGCAAAGTATTTTTAGATGTCCTCAAACACATCTGTAAAAGATTCAACTCAAGCTGTTTGTTTATTTCTAAATTCACTACATCTCCCCATTCATTTATAGTGTGAATTGAGTGTAGTCAGTTAAGGTCACTACAAATTTGGTTGAGAAGAGGAAGAAATTAGGATTGGCTGTTGAGCCGACTGAGCCTCCCAATGATGCAGAGAGGGCTTAGTGTCGAAAAACAGAAAATGCAAGAATGAGATTTTGACAGTTAGTGAGCATGTGTTACATTAGGACATAATGATAGATGAATCCTCGTGTTGCCTTAAGCAAGTCAGATTGCATTATCTTAACAGATGCGTTCTTCCATTGAAATAGTTGCTGTAAATAGAACTGCTTTTCTAAATAAAAATATGTTTTTCTCTCACCTGGTTTACCTTAGTTTTAGCACCATTACTTTACATTACATTGCATTTAGCTGACGCTTTTATCCAAAGCGACTTACAATAAGTGCATTCGACCAAGAAGATACAAACTTGAGGAGAACAGAATCATATAAGTACATCAGGTTTCATAGAGCCAAAACATTTCAAGTGCTACTCAACTAGCTTTAGATAAGCCAGTCCTTTATTAGTATATAAGTGCTTTGTTAGTAATTCTATTGCTCGAAGTGGAGTCGAAAGAGATGAGTTTTCAGTCTGCGCCGGAAGATGTGTAAGCTATCTGCTGTCCTGATGTCAATGGGGAGCTCATTCCACCATGTTGGAGCCAGGATAGCAAACCCACGTGTTTTTGCTGATGGGAACATGGGTCCCCCTCGCAGCGAGGGTGCAGCGAGCCGTTTGGCTGATGCAGAGCGGAGTGCACCTGCTGAGGTGTACAGTTTAACCATGTCCTGGATGCAGGAAGGGCCAGATCCATTCACAGCAGGGCCGTTTCTAGCTGTTTGGGGGCCCTAGTTTTTACAGTTTTTTAACTACAATGGGGGGGATTCCGAAGCCTTTAAGATGATCTGTGGAGATGCATCAATCTGTTACAATGTAACGGAGGTGATCTCTGGGGCCATAGATCTCGGCCTCCGTTACGGATTGTGTAGCTTTGTTGGTGGCGAAGTGTATGTAGTGTGTGCATCTGTCTGTGTTTTAGTTTGTCTTTCTCTGTTTGCTGGTGTTGTTTTGAAAAGTGTTCCCTTTCCCCATGTCTGTTACTGCTGATTGTGTGCACCTGGTGCCCTGTGTTGTCTCCTCCCCCCTCACCTGTGTCTTGTTGTGCTGATTAGTGTGTGGGTATTTAGGCTCTGTTTCCCTGTCTGTGGGGGCTGGTAGTGTGTGTGAGAGATCCTTGTGGCTGCAGGCTGTGTTCAGGGAGAAACAGCAGGATTGAGGCTGTGTGTCATGTGTTCATGATTTAATAAATGCCCACATCGGGTTGTATTTTGGACGTTCTGCCTCCTTGCTTGGTCTGGGCCGCTCAACGGTCAGCTTCACACACTTTAATAGGAAAACAGGCTAATTTCACGAAAACCAAGCAATTGAAAATTACAAAAAATAATATTAAAAAGGTAAACAATAAGGCTCCTCTATGTCAATAAATGCAAGAGATGCAGCATTTTCTCAACAATGTTTAATTTACATTTTTCATCTTCCTCAGACGTCACTCATTGGCTGACAGCCCAATGATGATTTGGACTTTGTTATATTTATATATAGTATTTTCATTTCCAAAAAAAGATAGTGCTATTGATGTGCAGAAAATGACCCTATATCTAGTTTTCGTATATATATATATATATATATATACGAAAACTAGATATTAATCGCACATTTTTTATCTGTTCTAAATGTAACTTAGAGGAATATTTTTCAAGTTTTTAATACTCTTATCAACATATGAGTGGACAAATATGCTTTATACAAATGTTTATTATCCTTTGAACAATGACAAATATTCTCATGAATATTAAACACAACCTCTGAACATTACAAATATTCGCCTCAATTCAACCTGGAACCTCTCTCATACAATAATACAATACAAAGTGTGTGTGTGTGTGTGTGTGTGGTGTGTGTGTGTGTGTGTGTGTGTGTGTGTGTGTGTGTGTGTGTGTGTGTGTGTGTGTGTGTGGTGTGTGTGTGTGTGTGTGTGTGTGTGTGTGTGTGTGTGTGTGTGTGTGTGTGTGTGTGTGTGTGTGTGTGTGTGTGTGTGTGTGTGTGATGGATCGTTGGAGCTATGTGCAACTCAAGGCATATGCTCGAACGGGAGCTGCCTTGACGCTGCGATCATGTTGCGCGCACTATCCGTGCTGAGTGTGCTGACTTTTCGTACAATGTCCCGCGCAGTTGTCGGCGAAATGTCGCTCCTCTGTTTTCATTGAAACAGCTCCTTATATCCGTTAGCGCAGCTAGCTAGCACCAGATGCTAACAACAACAATACACGTAAGGTCTCTCCCGGTCCTCCCGATGGCCAGTCGGTGCTTGCCGGTGAGCGTGGAAGTGTGGTCTGCCACAAGCGGGCGGCAGGAGCGGGGCTGTCAGCATCAGCTTGTCGATGGTATTTTAAACTCGATGCGCTCTGAAACTACGGGGTGGCCGAGGACAAACTTTTTTTTTTTGCGTTAATGCGTTATTAACGCGTTAACTTGACAGCCCTAATATATATATATATATGCATTTATTGTTTTTTTTCCTGCCCTAACTATAAATTATTTTTTTCTCCTGTTTTCTTTATTTCTTTGTACTCCTTCATTTCTATACGTTTTTTACGCAATAATGCCGATGTTGTATTAGGATGATGCACGGGAGGGCTACTTTCCATAAGCTATGCTTCAGCCCTCCCGCTTCTACTAATTATGTTCATGTGTATGAATTCTACTTTTTTTGTTTTTTGGATGAATAAAAAAAAAAAAGTACTTTCAGCTTGAAGGGGGCCCTATGCATATAGGAAGAAACGGCCCTGATTCACAGCATGGTACCAAGTACCAGTGTCTTGAAGTGGATTCTAGCAGTTACTGGAAGCCAGTGAAGATAGCAGAGGAGTGGTGTGGTGTGGTGTGGGAAAAAGATGAGCCGCTGCATTCTGGATGAGCTGCAGAGGTCGGATGGCACATGCCAGCGGGTAGACCAGCCAGGAGGGAGTTACAGTAGTCTAGGCGTGAGATGACGAGAGCCTGGACCAGAAGTTGTGTCACTTTCTGGGTCAGGAGGGGACGTATCCTCCTGATGTTGTAAAGAGTGTATCTGCAGCAGCGGGTTGTAGCAGCGATGTTTGCTGTGAAGGACATTTTTGTTTTATAGGGTCACACCCAGATTCCTTGCAGTCGGGGAAACAACAGAGGGGCTGATGTTGATTGTTAGGTCAAGAGTGGGACAATCTTTTCCCGGGAGGAAAAACAGCTCAGTCTTGTCAAGGTTGAGCTTGAGGTGGTGAGCAGACATCCACCGAGAGATGTCTGCTAGACAAACAGATATGCGTGCTACGACCTGGGTCTCTGAGCGGGGAAAGGACAGAATTAATTGGGTGTTGTTGTAATAGATATGACAAGTCATGGTTGATAACCTTCCGGGTCTGTCCAGCAGAGGGCGCTTGTAGCTTGCCACGGGTGCATAATACATTGGATTTGAAGCACACTAAAAACGTCTCTGTTTCCTTGTCTGATATTTCCCCCAAATTAGGTGAGTTAATCCGTGATAAATGTTATATACAGTTGCAAGAAAAAGTATGTGAACCCTTTGGATTCTCCACACATAGCGTTGTGTGTTCCTTCCAAACAACTCAACTTTGGTTTAATCTGTCGACAGAATATTTTGCCAGTAGTGCTGTGGAACATCCAGGTGCTCTTTTGCAAACTTCAAACGTGCAGCAATGTTTTTTCTGGACAGCAGTGGCTTCCTCCGTGGTGTCCTCCCATGAACTCCATTTTTGTTCAGTGTTTTACGTATCGTAGATTCGTCAACAGAGATGTTAGCATGTGCCAGAGATTTCTTTAAGTCTCTAGTTGACACTCTAGGATTCTTCTTCACCTCATTGAGCAT